AGCCCCACCATGAACCCCAGCGCCGTGCAGCCCGCTCTGGGGTGGAGCCCACCGCCTACTGCCCAGTGCCCAGCAACACGGCACTGCAGGGTCGGGAGCAAAGGAGGCTCATGTACCTGTTACTGCTGGGGTGACACAAGTTAGACTGTGGCGAGGGCACCCGCTGCTCATCTGAAAAGTGTCAGGGAAGCATGAGCAAAGCCAGGTTCTCCTGGGCACCCTCCGCAGCCCAGCACCATGCAGGGGCCGATTGGCTCGGAGGGAAGAGCGCCTCCTGTGGCAACTCTTCCCTTGCAGGTCTGCTACCCCAGCACTGGCCTCGCACCCTGCTTGTCACCACGGTCTGCGCTGCTCCAACTGCTGAGAGCAACCCAGGATCCTGTGGGACCTACTGGAGTGAGGCAGATGATTGGATGGGTTCGGGCTGGTTCAACCCAGGAAGGATGGGGGGCCGAGGAGCCTTTTGCCCCAAGAATTGCAATGCCATGGCTTTGTCTGTCATCCCAACCCACTGCCCCCTTACCAGACAGGAGGGGGTTTTCCCCTTGGGTATCAGCAGCCCCTCACCAATGGCAGGAGCAGATTGGAAGCCTGGGGGGCTCCCTGAGTAAGTATCCGAGCTGGATTTACAGGGGGTGCCCCTGAACCCCTCCTCTGACTCCCTCCATCTTCCCTTCTAGTCTCTCCCTGTCCCTGCCCAGTGCGTCACAGCAGGATGGGGACTAGGGTGACCAGACGTCCCGATTTTATAGGAACAGTCCCGATATTTGGGGTCTTTTTTCTTATATAGGCTCCTATTACCCCCCACCCCTGTCCTGATTTTTCACACTGGCGGTCCGGTCACCCTAATGGGGAGCGGATCTCGCTCCCTGCTCCCCACTTGGTGTGGAGGAGGGAGAAAGCCTAGTAGGGGAGCAGAAGGGGGCGGGGGGGTCACAGGGCAACATGCTCCCTGCTCTGCCGCCTCAGCCTGAGAACTAGGCCCGGCCGGCAGAGCCAGCCATGGCCAGAGCTCCGTGAATTATTGCCATCCCAGCTGACCAGTGGCTGCCTGCCCCCAGCTCTCCAGGACCTGGCTGAGCTACATCCGCACTGGGGTGTGGGGGCAGGGGAGAGGTTCCCCTCCAGACTGTAGCTAAAGCCCTTCGAGGGAGCAGCATCATGGATAGCTTCAACGGGGTCAGCCCCTGAATTCTCCTCTGCCTTGGAAGGGGTCGGCACCTCCAGGTTAGGCGTGAAGGGGCTATTATCCGTGTCAAGCACATGGGGCAAGACCTCTTTCCCAGTGCACACCGACACCCAAGGGGTGAATACTCAGCAGCACCAAGCAGCTCCCTTGGGAGTCTCCACTGGTCCAGGGATGCTAATAGCTGCTGCCACATTTAATGGGGAGGCAGAGGCCACATGGCAGCTGGTCAAAACCAAGCCAAGCTGCCCTGTTCTAGCAGGAGTAGGGTGGGAGCTGGCTGCAGGGGAGCTCCCAGCGACTCCAGCCCCTGCATCCCAGCAGGAGGCATGTAGCAATAACCCCAGGGCAGTCCCAGCTTTTCCCAGCCGGGGCGCCTCGGGGAAGGGGCAGGAGTTTCTGGCTGCTCAGCATAGAACAAGCTCCGACGAATTGGTCACTGTCTGTCTCCATGGTGAGCCTGTGTGGTGTCCCCCTCCAGAGCGGCGCCATGGCTGAGAAGGGGATTGACCCAACCTGCGTCTCCGTCGCTTTGGAGGACTCCGTGTGCAATGCTGGCTCCCAGGACGCGCCTCTCCTGACCACCCACCTGAAGAAGGTGGAGAATCACATCACAGAGGCGCAGCGGTTCTCGCACCTGCCCAAGCGTTCGGCCGTGGACATCGAGTTCGTTGACCTGTCCTACTCCGTCCGTGAGGGCTCCTGGTGGAGAAAGAGAGGTAGGGCATGGCAGCCCCCGGTGAGGGCACAGCGGTCCTGTGAGTGTAGCATCTTTCATGGTAGTTGTGTTCCTGGGGCCAGGGAATGGAGAGAGCTAGCCAGGAGGGGAGAGATTTGAAAAGAAATCACATGAATCCGCATCTTGAGGAGACACAGGAGCTGCAGAGGAGAAGGCTCTTGCCCCTGCAGTGGCAAAGGGACTGTTAGGATATGCATTTTGCACTGTTTTATTTTAATCTGGTAACTGAAAGGTTAACTGTTGTGGCATGTATGAGCTAGCATAGAGGCCCCTGTGGGTTGCTTGTATTTCTATTGGGTAGAATGTGAGGGAGAGAAAAAAATACCCAATGCTTTGTTGCAACTAATGTTCTATGCTGCATCTGTGGCTGAGCCTGGGGGCAGCCCTGTGCTGCAGAAGCAAAGGGCTCTAGCTCTAAGTTGGTTAGATGGTGGTTTAGGTCTCTTATTCCCTGGAAACACTTTCCTATGTTTAATGCAAGTGCAGTGCTTCGTTAAGGAAATCCAAGAGGTGCCTGTACCCACCAGAGACAGAACTGGATGACAGGAGGGAGGTGGGAGGGGAGGAAAAAGAAGATGACAAATGGTGGGAGCGAGCCCGTGCAAGGGTGTTTAAAATAAGAGCGGTGATTTTGAGTTGGCTCCTACAGGCGGTGGACAGCCAGGGGAGGGGTGTGGGGTCATGGCGCTCCCTGGATTCTGCAGCTGTTGCGGGGCTGATGAGCTGGGGCTAGTGGGGTAGGAAGGAGGGGTTGGAATAGGAACAGGAGAGGAGATGGGAGCTGGTTGCCGATCCTAGCACCCATCACCCAAGATAGCCAGAAGTCAAGATCGAACCACCCTTTGGTGCTCCAACTGACACGTTCACGCCCCAGCCAAAGGTGGTGAGGAGGGGAGCAAGGGCCCATCAGGGATGGCTGAGCTTATAATCCTTGGAGTTTGCCATGTCCTGGGGCAGGGATGTGTGTTGAAAGCATCAGTTCCCTGCTCCCACAGGTGATAATTTTCCACCTTGGTGGTTCTTGGTGTCAGAAATCAATGCCCCAGACATCTCTGGCACTGCCTGGGGGAGAGGCTGTGGAGTCTCTTCCAAGGCTGCTGAGGCTGTCTGTGCTGGCGTGTTTCAGTTCTAGGATGTGCTTGTGGCCAGGAGAAGGGGGAGATACAGGTAAATTTTGAGCGCTTAGCGCAGCAAGGTCAGGATGCCATAGTCAGGTGTCACACTTCCAGCCCTTGCGCAGTAGGATCCATGCACAGCTGGTGAACGTTGCTGAATTTGACTCTCCAGCTGTGATATCTAAATTTATATTTAAATGACCCCCTGGGGGCATGTTTCCAGAGGGCTGTGTGGGGTTCCAATCACATGGCTCTTGTGGAAGTCTCTGCTAAACCCCTGGGACTGTGGAGATTCCCCCACCTTGGGCAGAGACCGTCTTTCTGTTCTGTGTTTGTACAGTGCCTCGCACACTGGGGTCCTGGGCCGGGACTGGGCCAATACAAACTATGAATAACAACGACAAGTCTTTCTCTGTGCCAACCCAGCCCATCTGTGGGGAGTGGAGTGACAGGCCCTTCCCCACTGCTTCTATTTTGAGCATCCATGTGGGGTTGTAGCTTGATAGAGAGTGTAGCGCAAACCACTAGACAGGAACTTGAAGGGGAGGAAGTTGTGCCACTTCCTGTGGCTGTATAAACTGCAGTAACCTCTTCCCCGGTACCTACCTTCCCTGCCCTGGCAGAAGGATGTGCTCAAGCCATGGAATCTGGCTGTTTGGAGGAATTTGCCTCCAAGGTCTTGGCTCCAGACTCTTTCTGATATGGTGATTTTTTTCATCCTCAGTCCCAAAGCACTTTGAAGGGGTTATTTACCCACCACTGAAATGCAGCCACCTCTGAGGTGGGAAGCAGCAGCTGTTTAAAAAGCACCCAGTAACACCACACAACAGTTGAGGAGAGGAGTGAAGGAGAATCCAGTGAAACCGCTGGGCAGGATTTAGGGAGGCAGAATGGAATTACCCACACTGGACAGCTCCTGTGTAATGACCCAAGATGGCCAGAATCTCAGGGACAACAGAGCACTCTGGGCTTCAAATCCCCTCAAAGAGACTGGTTCTATAGGAAGCTGCTACAGACGTGTCATCCCAGTGGGTGGGTTAAATGGCACTTGAAAGACCCTGATTGATGTGTCAGATCAGAGCATGAGCAGGCCGAGAGGGGAGTAGGTGTGGGGGGGTTAGTTTCCTACTCCCACCACTATCCCACTCCTCAGGCCCTTTGAGGACGGCTCCTACCAAACCATGCATCGGTGGCATCCCCGTTTCATGTGTGTAACTCGGGGGCCCCCAGAGAGCCGGGGGAGGCTGATGGCAGCCGGTAGGTGGTAGTCTCCTTTAATTAGCTCCCCTCATTAATGGGATGCCAATCAAATGGCCCCAGGAGGCAGAAGAGAAGCTGATCCTGGAGGGGTGAAGAAAGACACTTTTAGAGCCTGGGGTTTGGTAGCGGTAGGAGAGAGCTGAACGTCACAGCAGCTGCAGAAAGAGCAGGGCTTGGTGGAAGGCTGGGTGCAGATGCATGGGGGCCAGAGGTGATAGGATGTGCTTTGGGGGGTGATGTTAATAGCAGGTCCCAAGTTTTATAGGATGTTGACTGCAGCTGGGGAAGGACCAGGGCTTGGTAGGGCAGAGATTGGGGCGGGGTCCCCCACCCAAGGCTGGATTTGGGGTGGGTGCAACCCCTCCATCTGAAGGGAGATTTGAATTGCTACTCTGGTGGGGCTCATCGATATCCCCTCTACCAGGTGAGACAAAGGGAGCGTCCCCTGGCCAGACCGGAAGCAGCCTGGCTCGTCTTAGCTGGCTGGGGTTCTATGCAGCTCTTACAGCCAGTAACGCACCCATCTAGGCAGAAGCTCAGGGTGCCTGGTTCCTCAGCTGTAAATGATCCACATTCCAGCCTGTGCAGGCAAACTGGGGAGTCCTTCATCTCCCCAAGACAGACCCTCCCACCGTGACCTCTAGGAAGTTCTAGAATTTGGCCTTTCGGGTCCAAAGTTTGCCCATGGCTGTGGACATGTGTCCACATGGCTTCTGCGTGTGTCTATTGACCAAGTATCTTATTCCCCCTTTTACAGTTGGAGAAACTGAGGCAGAAAGAGGGCAAATGACTTGCCCTAGGCCACCCAGTGAGTCAATGGCAGAGCCAGGACTAAGGCCCAGTGACTCTCACTGCACTGCCCCATACGTTCTCCTTGACTAACACAGCCTGTGCCCTGCATTATGGACAGAGCCCACTCTCTCTCCTCCAGAGCTGCTGGCACACCTGGGGGTTGTATGCACAGTCTATAAACCGTTCCATTGCATCAGGACTTTTCCCCATCTCCTGTCTGTTCCCTTTTCCTACTGTGTCTCCTAAGCAGAATCTATTCTGAACCCATATGGCCTGAGTCAAACATCCACGCCCAGCGCCTTCCGGCGGGTTCAGAATTAGGTGGAACGAATTCATCCAGCCCTGCCAGAAACAATGAGCTGGGCGTAGTCATCCACTTATTAGCAATGGGACGTCACCCTCACCCCCTGCTATACTGATGCTGTCACCCTGCATATCCCGTAATGGTGATGTCACCTTAAATGTCCCACACATAACCATGAGGTCACTCTGCATCTCCCCAGGCCAGGCAGGGTATCTCTGGGATCAGCCCCATGCCTGCTGTTTGCATTGACTCCCCCAGAGCCCACTCCACCCTGCCCAGACTGGCTGGACTGGCATCAGCTGGGAGTTCTCCCCATCACCCAGAGATGGGGGAATAGCAGACAACATTCTGAGGCCTTTCTCAGGGCCTGATCCTTGCTCCCATGAGCAACCTTTACTCAGGCAAGTAGTCCCTCTGGCTCCAATGAGTGGCAGGCTCAGTTCCTAGCTCTTTATTCAGGCAAAACTCTGCTGGAGTCAATGAGGCTTTCACCAGACAGAGGGGCTTCAGGGTGTATCCCAGTCACGGTAAATACCGTACCTGGTCCCTTTCAAAAAGGGATCCTCAAGATCCTTCTCCCCATTGAATTACTCAGATTGGAAGCTCTTTGGGGCAGGGACTGTCTTTATTCTGTGTTCGTACAGCGCCTAGCACAATGGAGTCCTGCTCCGTGCCCGGAGCTCCTGGCACTACAGTCATACAAACAACGTGCCCATGGCTGTGGACAGGTGGCCCACATGGCTTCTGCATGTGTCTGTTTACCAAGCATCGTTATTTCCCCTTCTACAGCTGGGGAAATTGAGGCACGGAGACCTGCCCAAAGTCACACAGCAGACCAGTGGCAGAGCTGGATATAGAACCCAGGAATCCTGACCCCTGCCTGCTAAGGTGGAGGCTTAGGGTTCCCATGCAGAGCTGAGACAGCTCTTCGCCAAACTCAGCGTGAGATTCAGGGGTGACGGGGATGGAGCCTCACCCCTGCTCAAGGGGGTTTAAAGCATGTAAGCTGTTGGGAGTCCAGTGGGGGGTCCTGGTGAAGCTTCCTCTCGGAGGTGGTCTTCCTCATCCCCCACCACCTCACATCAGCCTCTGTCCCCTCCCCACAAGCCTTCAGATCTCCCCTCCCTGCCTCAGATGTCTGGGGGGGCTGGGGCAGGGACTGAGAGGGGGTCTGGCCCTGGGGGGCAGCTGATGATGCAGAGAGGGCTCTAGTGGGTGAAGGAGGGGGGCTAGTCTGGGACTGACCCCATTAGCGAGCACAGCCCCGCAGGGCTCACTCAGACGCCAGAGGGCTGGGAGGGGAGCAAACCCGCAGGAAAGGCGGCTGGGGAGCAGGCCCCAGCACAATCCCCATCTTCACATGCCGGAGCTGACAGGCAAACTGCACAGCCCCTGCAGAGCCCACTGTCCTTCCCCAGCCGCACACGGGAGTGGGCTGAGGGCTCAGCTGCTGTCGGGGGTTACTGGCTGTCAATGAACTCGAGTAACCGTGCTGCAAGCTGCAGCCCTGTGGAGGCTGGAGAGCGCGGCATGGTTTGTGTGCCACACAGAGCCGCCGGCAGTGCAGGGCTGGGGGGAGGGGGCGCAGCTCAGCGCCTGGGTTTGCCATGCTGCTGCTCCCCGCTCGGGGTAGCTGGTCACATGCCGCCACATCCCCATCTTCAGCATCTCGCACGAGCCTGGCCGGGACTCAGGAAACCTGCAGCAAAGCCACCGACGGGGCCATGAGGAGGAGAATTATACGCTGTGTTACCATCATGCTGAGGAGCCCTTGCCAGGGGCCAGGCAACCGCTGCAGGGCCATAAAGCTGCCCCCAGATTGCTCGCTGGCCCCACCGGCCCCTCCTTGTGCCAGCTGCTTCCCTGCTCCGGTGCCGACTGTGCCGTTAATTTCCTACAGTGCCCCTGGATGGCAACAGGAAAAGTTCTGGGGCGCACCTCCCCACTGGAGGAGAGGAAGGGGGCATGTTAACACTGACCCAGGCGAGGAGAGCAGTCCCTGGGCCCTGAAACAAGATACACATCTTCCTAGGGGTGATGGAAAGGCCGCTTCCCCGGCACCTGATGCAGGGCCACTCAGGGGCTTTACAGCAGCAGCAGGGATAGACCGCAGACCCTTTCTTCATGGAGCAAGAGGAGAATCCCCATTAGCTGCTAGCAGTACTGGGTCCAGGACACACCAAGAGCAGTTCTGATTCCTTCCAGCAGAGGGAAGTAGTGCCCCGTAAACCCTAGAGTTTGGTACCCAGGAGCCTAGCCAGACTGATCTGCATATAGTTCCCATGATGCTCTGGGCTGAAGCCCAACTTTTCCTTTGCCCTGCCGCATTGCACGGTGAGAAGTTGGGAGGGACAGCACAGCTGGGCATTTCCAGGAGAATGACCCCAACGCTGTGGATGCAGATACTAGGGGTTAACCCCTTCAGAACCACAGCGGTTTGCTGAAGCTACTGAGGTTGCTGGAAGGAGGGATGTGTGGTGCGCACTGCTAATGGCAGGTCTGGCGCTGCCAAAGTGCAGAGAGCCGTGAGCCAACTCCACAATGCCTGTGTCCCTAAGGCTGTGATTGCTGGGGGCCGGAGCCTCATTCAGAGGGACTAGTGGGAAGTTGGTTCCTTATTTTTACCATGGGGTCTGTGAGAGAAAGCACGACAGAGGGGGCATCTGCACCCCATCTATAGGAGAACAGAGGGCTTGTCCTGCAAGACCTTCAAACCCTTATTGTTTGTTTATTTGTGTTGGGGTAGCTCGTATAAGCGTTAATTGGGGAGCAGGGCCCCGCTGCACTAGCCACTGTCCAGCCATGATGAAAAGACTGGCCCTGCCCCAAGAGCTGACAAGCGACAACCGGTGGGCAGCAGACAGATACAGTCTAGGTCATTAGATTAGAAGGATAGAAACCTGGAATCCTCCTAATCTAATCTCATCCCTCTCTATACTCTAGCACTCATTCTGTCTATCCTCTCTCTCTCCGATCTGCCCTTGACCATGGCAGGTGGGTGCTGCCCTCAATAGCTGAAGTTGGAGAGAAAGGTCCTAACCTTCCGCTATACCGATCGCTTGTTGCCCTGATGCATGGGGATTTGATTGCCCTTGTTTGAGCCTGTGGCTATAGGTCCGGGAGTTATCCAGATCCATCCCCAACATCTGACTCCGCTCCTGGGCCCCTCCGCTGCAGTTCTTTGACGCTTCCACCGGAGAAGCCCCGCGATTGGCTTCGGAAGGTGACGGCTCCCCAGAGACACAAGGCAGTGCCAGTCACACGCCCCCGAGACATCTTGTTCCCAGCGCTGCAAAATGCTAATCAGCCCCTTCAAGTCCCTGGTAATTCTGGGGCTGATTAGCGGCTGCTGCCGGGTGTCACCGTGGGAATGCAAAGTAGGTCGGCGGGCCATCGATCCGGCTGGCGCAGGGCCTGCGGGCTGGGGACTGGTATTGCTGGGGGCTGCTTCCCAGAAAGCCCCTCCTGGGCAGCGCCCACCCAGTCAGTGCACCGCTGGGTGCGCCAGGGCAGCCGTGATGACTCAAACACCAGCAAAGAAGGATCCCTCTGTGAATCTCAGCCCCCCGGGGCACTGCAGTAGGGACCACTTGTTAGCCCTCGTTACGGGCCGGGGTGGGCAATGAGGTGGTTATTGCTTGGAGGCAATGGGAGAGTAGTCCTTTAGCCCATCCTGGGCTTTCCCCATTCGCACACATTGCTCCTTACATGCAGAACAATCTCCTGCTTCCTGTTCAGCAAGCCCCCCCACCTCCAGAGCTTCTCTATGCCTCCCCTAAACTCCCCCTCTAGTTTCTCGACTGGTGCTTGCTTGTCTTTATCTTGAGCCCCAGTCCTGCGAGGTGCTGGATGCCTGCTGGAGGGGATGAGCCAGAGGGCTCAGCACCATGCGGCATCGGGCTGGTAGACTCAGGAAGCTCCCCAGGGCATGAAGATGTCCCCATTGCACAGAGCAGGCTCTGCTCTTGGTTTCCCCAAGGCCAGTGTGCAGCGGTGGCCCCCTCATCACTGGAGCCAGTGCAGTCACTGCAGGTTTGCAGTGAGAGGGAGACAGAGCGGAGCCCAGCCCAGGGTTTCTAACACACCCGGCCTGTTCATGGTGCCAGAGAATGAGTAACAGTGACTGTCCATAGGGCAGATCTTGAGAGGTTGGGGGGGGAAAAGTGGGGTCTCCTGGGATTCCACATTTGGGTTTCCTATCCCAGTTTGTTTGGTTTCCACCATCCCTGTATGATCCTCTCTGTGTCCATCCCCATGCCATGCTCTGTCCTAGTATAATCTGTCCCATTAGGATTCGTGCTCCAGTATGACCCATAGATGCCTATCCCTGTGCGCTCTGCCCCACCCCTTGACTAGTCCTGTCATGCATCCTTTGCTTTCTCATTTCTGGATGGTCGCAGAGGCCCCGGGCATGCAACTTATCGGTTGCAAATCAGACAGACTCCACAGGATGCTGGAGGGAAGGGGGTGGAGGGAGCCTGCTGCTGACCTTGGCTTCCTGGAATTTACAACTGAAATCGACACGGCTCTGCTGCTGGAGCCAAGCTAGGCTGAGCCTGGGGTAGACGAGCCTGGGCCTTTGGCAGACAGACGCCTGTTAGCTAAGGTAGGGGCGGGACCCGGCATGCAGAAACAGGCGCCTTGACCCAGGCCCGGTCCCCTGCGGAGCGAACCCCCGCCCAGCTCCCTCTCTTGGGAGATTCCATCTCCCTTGCCCTGGCTGTGAGGCTGCCGCAGCATGTGGCTACCTGCCGTCTGTCGAGATCCTTAGCACGTTCCGGCTTGCCCTGCTGCTAAGGTCCGTCGCCTCAGGCAGATCCAGGGCCCCCAAGAGGCTGGGCAGGAAAATCGGCGGGGAGCATCTGTCTGCAAAGTCAGTGCAATGAATTGGGATGGGGTTTCACTGTTCACGGCAGCTGCACTTGTATTCCCCCTCTGGGGCCCAGCAAGGGCACCCACTCTTACGTTTCTGGCTCTTGGGTGGAGACCCGCGTCTCTCTCCCTCCTGACCAGGCTGCACAGTTACCTGCCTGCACAGTGAATTCCCCAGCAAAGCCAGACAATCTAAGCAGGCTCTGCTTTGCTTTGTTGTTGAAGGCTTTGAATTGCGTAATGGTCCACAATTATGTCACTACACAGCTAGATTCAGAGTCAGAGAGTTGAAGGCCAGGAGGGACACTAGATGATCTAGCCTGACCTTCTGACCGCAGCTCTTTCTAAGCAAGCACATTTATTCTTAAGGTAACAGCATTACAGAGAAAATGTATTAAGCTACAAGCATGCTAAGACGCTTGCCAGAGATCACCCCAACTCCCAAAAGGGTTCTAGCTGGTGAAAACATCCATCAGACCCCACTAAGGGGGTTTTCTGTGGTCACAAGTTCATAACAGCTGTTAGCTGAGAACAAATACCCCATGAATCTGAGAGTCACTCTTTTATCCAGTTTGGGCCTCTGACTTTCTCCTCCTGTAACAGACAATGGGGTTTTCCTTCAAAGGGATGGGTCCGGAGGTGGGCAATTTGCATTCTCCTCCTCCCAATATTTCCTAGGAAACCCACTCAACTAAAAGGTCAGTTTTGTCTGACCCATTGTTTGAAAAGAGTCCTTTGACGCTCATAACGCTTCCCAGGGTTTACATTAGTCCTGCCTCCCCCTTAAAGGAGTCCCAGGCAATCCCACAGTAACACGCACACATAGGCATTTGTAATACAATGAACTCCCAAGTTATTTAAACTTAGTTCAACAAGGATTGCTCAGGAGCTGGCAGGAGATTGCCTGATCTGGCACGGGGGCCTGGGCATCCCAGGTAGTGCAGGAGCTTTCACCTCCAGGTCACCAGTTAGGAGTGAGCTCTGCCGGCTCTGCAGTGAGCTGTGTCCATGCCGTGTGCACTAACGAGGCAGGAGATCTGTTCCTAATGGTTGCCCTGCAATTGTAAAAGGCTTTTGACTGATAGAGCTTAAGGCCAGAAGGGACCATTAGATCATCTCATCTGATCTTCTGTATAACACTGGCCATGACATTTCACCCACTTACCTCCGTACTGAGCCCGGTAACTTGTATTTGACTAAAGCAGGTCTCCCAGAGAGGCCTCCAGTCTGGATGTGAGGCCAACAAGAGATGGAGAATCCACTACTTCCCTTGTGGAAGGTGCCAGAGAAGGGCCAAGGGCTGGGGTTGTTTTACTGTAGTGGGGGATGGGGTAAGCTCCTCCACCCTAGAGGAGTTACAGATGTGGGGCTGGCCCTTCGCATCATGGCCACTGACCCCCCCCCAGCCCTCCCGTGTCACCAGACAGTTCTCTGGGCTCTGCACAAGGGCTCACCCTGCTTTCTTCCCCTCTTCCAGGGTACAAGACCCTCCTGAAATGCCTGTCCGGGAAATTCTGCCGGCGCGAGCTCATCGGGATAATGGGCCCCTCGGGCGCTGGGAAATCCACGCTCATGAACATCCTGGCTGGTTACAGGTGAGGCAGCTCCCTGGCGGAGTGAGGGCGAATGATTGACCTCTGTGCATGGGACCAAGAGCCTCTCTCCGGCCAGCCCGGTAGGGATCGGAACGCAGTGCACTGTGATGGAGGCTCCTGGGGGTGGGTTATCCCCGTGGGAGGTGGGGATCTGCACTCGCTCCGCCTCACCAGCGCCGTGCTCTGCGTCTCGGCCTGTCGCCCGCAGGGAGACGGGGATGAAGGGCCAGATCCTGGTGAACGGCCGGCTGCGGGACCTGCGCACCTTCCGCAAGATGTCCTGTTATATCATGCAGGACGACATGCTGCTGCCGCACCTGACCGTGCTGGAGGCCATGATGGTGAGTGAGTGGGCGGTGCAAGGTGGCATGGCCCGGGGGGGAGCAGGGCTCGAGGGCTGCTCTGAAATGATGGAACAGCAGCGAGGGATTGCTTGCTTGGAGCTGTGTTTTGGCCCTGAGATCCCGGAGCTGGGTGCAGTTGGCATAAGACCTGACCCGGATTAACCCAGTGTGGGCTTGCCACTGAACCCATGGCCGCACGGAGATGTGATGGCACGGGGCCACCTTCCTCCCCGGAGTGATCCCACCAGCCTGGGTGCAGTGAGCGCCATTATATGGCTATGGACTGTGGTCTATATGGGGATAAGGACAGAATAGAGAGCGAATGTAGAACGCACTTTGGCTTGTGCTTTATAGACCAGCCGGGGTCTTCAGCTGCTGTTACTGGGGGAGTTTGGTGCTCGTGAAAGCTGGGGGAGCTGAGCCAGACTCTGCAGGCAGCTGTGGGCTCCTCCTACATGCCTCTGCAGCCCTGTCCTGTAGTCTGCCCTGTTATCCCAGTTCTAGGCTCCCCCCGTGCACACAGCTCTGCCAGTAACCCTGAATCCCAGCCCACATCCCCCTCGCCCCCCTGCTATATCAGCCCTGGGCTCCCCCCGTACCCACAGCTCTGCCAATACCCCTCAATCCCGACCCATAGCCCCCCCCTCCCCTCCGCTATAACAGCCCTGGGCTCCCCCGTACCCACAGCTCTGCCAATACCCCTCAGTCCCAACCCACAGCCCCCTGCTGTTCCATCCCCTGGTTTCTGCTGAGCAGAGCTGAGGGCAGAGTGCCTGGTCTCCCATGGCATCCTGTGCAGAGGCCAGGAGACCCCTAGTCATTCTGTCTGGGAGTTGGGCAGGCCCCAGTGTGACTGGCCCCTGTGTCTGCTCCCTGCCCTGCAGGTCTCTGCTAACTTGAAGCTGAATGAGAAGCAGGAGGTGAAGAAGGAGCTGGTGAGTTGGGGGTCCCTGCTCAGTAGGGGTTTCAAGGGAGGGTGGCACTCTCTGGGCAGCACTGCCATGCCCAGAAGGACCCATCCTGTCCCTCTGCCCACAGGGTAAAGGGGCTCCCAGGGCACACCCTCCCCTCCATTGCTTCAGCCTTCTTAATGGCGCAATACACCAGCACAGGGGCGAGGCCCCAGGGCGGGCAGGGGGAGGTTGGGACACGGGCTGGACACAGCATGAGTAGGGGGAGGTGGGGGCACGGTGGGGGCTGGGGGAACTGGGGACACGGGCTGGGCACAGAGGGGCTGGGGGAAGTGGGGACTCGGGCTGAGCATGGGGTGGGGGGGCAGGGGGAGCAGCAGGAGGTAGGAAGAGTGTTGGGGGCCACGAGCGCCTTTCAAACCCTGGCCCCAGAGAGGCCGCACATCCCTCACGGCGGGACTGTGGCGGGGCAGGGAGGCTGGCAGTGACTCTCTCTGCTCTGTGCTGGGCCCAGGTTCAGGAGATCCTGACGGCGCTGGGGCTGCTGGAGTGCTCCTACACCCGCACCATGTCGCTGTCCGGGGGGCAGCGCAAGCGCCTCGCCATCGCCCTGGAGCTGGTCAACAACCCCCCCGTCATGTTCTTCGATGAGCCAACCAGGTGAGCACGGGGCCTCCCTCCCCCACCGCTCCAGGCCAGCATGGGGCTCCCCCTTCCCGGGAGCCTGCAGCTGTCGCTGGCCCCTGGAGCTGCACGGGGGGAGCCAAGCATGAGCAGCGGGGTCACGTCTCTTTCCTGCAGCTGAGAATTTGCGGGGGGGTCACAGCCAGGGATGAACGTGGATTGACCAGGTTGGGGGGCTCTCCCTGCACCAGCTGGAGGGGGGAGCCGTGAGGGACGCTGTGCAGCCAAGCTGGGGGAGTGGGGAGCCCTGCCCTATAACCCCTGCTAACGGCTCAGGGTCACAGCTGGCCCCGCCCCCCCATAGTTGGCTCAGGGGCTGCCCGAAGTGTTTCTGTATCTGGGATGTTCATTCTCTCCCCATCCCCGTTCCTATCCCACCTCTTTCTGGCTCCACGCCTCTTCCTCTCTGCATTCATCCTTTCCCCCGCTCCCTCTCTCTTTTCCACCTCTTCTATCCATCCCCCTCACACTGCCATCCCTCCCTTTTCTCACTCCCCCTCTCCTCCCCCCCACAAACCCCGTTCCCTTCCCTCTCTCCCCCTTTTCCTGTCTGCAGTGGCCTGGACAGCGCCTCCTGCTTCCAAGTCGTCTCTCTGATGAGGTCCCTGGCCCAGGGAGGCCGCACTATCATCTGCACCATTCACCAGCCCAGTGCCAAGCTCTTCGAAATGTTCGACAAGGTGGGTGAGTCCCCTGCCTGCCCCTGTGCTTTGGGGAGCATCACCTGCTAATCAGAGCTCTGCCTCCAGCTGTGGGACAGAATCCCAGTACCCTGGGGCAGCATCTCTCGGCTGGTGAGACCCCGCCGGCTCCCCGTTCCCTGCGGGGCAGGGCGCTCCCTGGCTTGCACGAGCCCTAGGAGTGGGAGGTCTCGGGGTCTGGCCTGTGGTGTTTAGTGGGGGACTTGCTGCCATTTCCTGCTCAGGCCACTTTGTTCTCTCTTCCAGCTGTACATCCTGAGCCAGGGCCAGTGCATCTTCAAAGGGGTGGTGCCCAACCTCATCCCCTACCTGAAAGGGCTGGGCCTGCATTGCCCCACCTACCACAACCCGGCTGACTTCAGTAAGTGCCTGTGCAAAGCCAGGCTTCCCATGCCTTTCCCTTGGCTTGCAGCCGGCCCTGCCTCTCGCTACCTGAGCCGGGCCAGGCTAGGCCAGGACAGTATGGGAGAGCTCCCAGGAGCGGGAGGGCAGAGGGGTTGACGATTCAGCACGTGACTCCTGGTGAGTGTTTCTGGGAGTTGGAGAAGTTCGTGCTGCTCTCCTGCACACAGCCCAGCTGGTGTGGTTCCGTCCTCCCCCGGGGCTCTCACCGGATGTGAGATACTTCTTCACTTCCTGCCCTAAGCACTTGTACTAAACAGTTGCTGCCTCCCACCCAAGAGGTGGCCTGCATTTCCTCAGGGATGAGTCCCCTCTAGACCCCTCGCAGGGCGAATGAACATTACAAGGTCCTACAAGAGCCTTTGAGGGAAGGGGGTCTGGGAGGGCAACGCACTGACCATTCTCCATGCAGTGGCTCCAGGCACTCGGGAGTGGGGTCTCCCTCCCCACACCTGCCCAAGATCTAGGGGGGGTTATGCCTAGAGTACTGTCCCCCACCCCACCTGGCGTGGGTCAAGGGGCTCTGCCTGGCTACTCCAGCCTTAGCACCTGGCCATGGGGAGGTGGCAGCTCCCCTGCGGTCGCCTGCCTTTTCCTGATCATGCTGCCTCTGTCATAGCTCCCCATCCCATCTGGGGGACGTTTCCAGGAGCAGACAAGCCTAACTCCCACTCAGCCCTGAGATGGAGGTTAGTACACCCCCGCCCCCAATGCACCGGGGCCAGGGCAGAGGGGGCAGGGGTGCCCATCCACCCCTGATTGTCAGCCGTGGCTGCGAAGGGCAGGGCAGGGTGGCTTGGTCCGAGGGGGTCTCAGCGCTTGCTGTTTGGGTCCCTCCCAGTTATCGAAGTGGCCTCAGGCGAGTATGGAGACCTCAACCCATTGCTGTTCCGTGCCGTCCAGAACGGGCTGTGCACCATGGCCGAGAAGAAGAGCAGCCCGGAGAAGATGGACTCCTCCTGCCCAGTCCCCTGCGTGACGGTCAGTGCAGCAGCGCCAAGGCAGGCAGGCCCCGGGGCATCTTTGCCCCCGATGCCCAGACCCCTGTGGTGTGAGCTCTGTCCCTCCAGGTGGGGCTGGGCTGTGGGTCAGCTATGGGGAACGGTCCTGGTGTATCTAGGGAATATCCCTGGGATAGCAGCATCCCTGCCCTCCTCACACTGTCCCAGACCCTGGTTGGCTCCCGAGGGGGTGGGTACAGAGCGGATGAGAATTGGGAGCAGCCCCTGCCTTGTTCCCCTACCCCGAGGGAGTAATGTCCGTCTCTCCACCGGCGGAGTTTGGGGTGCCCGTCGCTGTGTTATCTGGGCACTGATAGAGCATAGGCCTATGGCGCTAGAGCCACCCTCCCTCCCAGGCGGTGCCCCTTGTTCTCCGGGGATCTCCCCACACACCAGAGCACCATGCAGCCCCTGTGCTGTGTCTGCCCTGCGGCCCCCGTCGTGCCGTTCCCCGGCGTGTGTACAGCAGCCCTGCCCTGGCCCAGGGTGCTGCAGGGAGTGGGACGGTGTCTGGGGCGAGGGGCGTGGCAGGTGCTG